AGAGAGAGAGAGAGAGAGAGAGCCTGATTATGTGCGTCCTTCCTGTCTGTTCTTGGCCGCTTATCTTGCTTGTCGTTTCCTGTCACGTGATTGGGCGTCTTTAGTTGGAATTCACTTTGAGCTCTTTGCAAATTCCACTCTGTTGTCGTTTTCCACTTTTCTTTGCGTTATTTTATTCTGCTCATGGAGTATTATGGCATGATGATCTCGTTGATCACTTGCTAAGCTGATGCACTTGATGGGCGAGCTGGCATCGTTCCCTTTATTGCATGTGGTCGTGCTTTGATCCTGTAATTGTAAGTCACATTCAAATAGCCACTTGGATTTCCGGCGAGAGCACTCCACCGTTTATGTGGCTGTCTTAACCCATCTCTGATGGAGAATCGGAGGTTTGTTCTTACAGGAAAGACTTCAATCAATGTAATTAAAGGGAAATGGCGAGCGTCCGGTGAATACATGTGGTAAAGGATAAAGGTCCCGCTGGTGTATGTTGCAAGGTAGTGTATTTCAGTCTGCTTGGAAGCTCATCCTTCGCTGTGGAACGCGTGTTGGACAGGAGAAAGAGGCTGTTGATGCTCTCGAGGGAGTTGGTTCTCAGCCTAATGAAGCAGAGCTGGCACAGGACGTTGCAGCAATGTTTCAAACCAATGTGTATCGCGCTGGAATTGACGTAACTGAAGCAGTGCTTTCGCCACAAACAAATTGGAGAAGACAAGAAAGGGTGGAGTCAGTGGGATCGTGGAAAGCAAAGGTATTGATTCAACCTTTCCTAACAACTGGCTGTTATGCTGTATGTGCCTTATCTGGGTAGATGCACAACGATGATCCAGAAAAAGAAACCCCACCCTTTTCGGCTGCTGAATTTGTATAGAGCATGCATAATTGCAGCCAACCTGCACCTGGTCGATTGGCCAACTCAGATTCAGGGGAAAGCGGAAGAGGGAAAGAAAGGGGGTCAAGATGGACTCTTGAAAGTTGGGAAGGGGGAGAGAGAGAGAGAGAGAGAGAGAGAGAGAGAGAGAGAGAGAGAGAGAGAGAGAGAGAGAGAGAGAGTACCAGAAAGGACTACCATCTGCGGATGGCATCCGGTTTGTTGAATAGTTTTCACAACGTTCTGTAGGCGGGGGGGTTCAAGGTGTGATGATTGCTCTAAACTGCGCTGTTGGTTAAACCATGTTCTCTATTGTAAAGAAGGTAGCAACAGCTGATGCATGGTGTAGGAGCCGTTGCAATATACTGGGAAATATCTTGAAGGAGGGAGGTGTGCGGAGCATATTCTATCTTCCACACTGATGATACAGGAAGTTTTGCTTGATGCCTTATCTCGTGTCTAGGTCTATGATATGCTTCATGTGCAAGTAAGTTTCCGCTCTCGGCGCGTTCCAGGGGCCTTGTCAGATGAAGAGCTGTTTGCAGGTGATGCGGATGATGCTGCTTTAGCGAATGGAAATGACTATGATGAGGACAATTTTTCTGAGATCCTCACGGAGGACGAGCGCAAGCAGCTTGAGGCGGTGCTGCGCTCCGATGAGAATGAGGAGTGCGGTGTCCGAGATGGTGGAGGGGAGCCGTCATGCGCAAGTGGGTCTGGGACGTGCTGTGGGGAGACGAGCTCGAATAGCTCGTCGCTTCAAAATTCCATGATGACGAATGGGGATGTACAGGAGGAGGATGTTGGTAAAGATAAGGAGAAGGAGAGGGAGAAGGAAAGTAAGAAAGCTTGGTTCTCGTGGGGAAAGAAGGAGAAGAACGGGAAGGGTGGGGGAGGAGGGAGTGGGGGAGGTGCTGGGAGCAAGGGGGCTACACCAACTGGCAAGTCCCCAGCCCGTTGGAAACGGCATGCGGAGGATGAGTACAGGCTTATTGACGATGGCGAAGAGAGCAACGGTGAGACCAATTCTGTGAATGGAGGGGCTGCAAGTGATGGTTCCATTCACCGAACTTCAAACGGGGCTCTCGACAGCCACTCAGAGAGTCGTAAAGGGGGTTCAAGACCGTCATCGTCAAGTCCTGAAAGCGAGTACGTCAAAGGGTTGAAGCCGACATTGTGGTTGACCGATGATTTCCCTCTCACAGTTCAGGAGCTGTTGCCGCTGCTCGATCTCATGTCACCACGTGTTAAGGCGGTCAGACGCCTACGAGAGCTGCTCACCACAAAGCTCCCCACAGGAAGCTTTCCTGTGAAGGTGCGTCATTCTCTTCAACCGCTGCGATGCTATTATGTGTTGGTATCCCACGCCCAGATCGGTTTTTGAAGCTGATTCGTTCCTGTACGAATGATATTTGTTAACCTGAATTTTGGGATTTGCCTATAGAGGATGGCAGTTCAACGCACATCCGCCTTTCCATCTTGAAAGGGATAAAAGAAGAGCTGCATTGGAGCTGATGGATGGCACCGACGGCCCACCGTTGTGAAACCAACACGTCGGCAGTCGCGGATCAGTCTCTCACGAAACTGGCAGCAGGGTGGCCTTGCGAATGCCCTAAACTCCAGATCCGATTGTGAGAGTAG